ATCTTATAGCAACTTGACAGAGTTGTTGTTCAATCTAAAATTTAAAAAGTCTATATTCTGTATCTTTTTTGTTATTTTTCTAGTAATTCAATTTTTCTAGTAATACTATTCTATATTTTACAAAAGTGTTTTTAGAAAAGCACTTTATATGTCTATTATATCACAATAAGGCTGGGAAAAAAAAAAGGAAAGAAAAAAAACTACTGGCCTGCAACAGCTTGAGGGAAAAAACCCTACCTGGCCTTCACCAAGAAAGTTTGAAAAGCACTGATATCAAACACTTTACTGAGTGCTGAGCACAAAGAACTCTCAAAATATTAATTTCCTCTCCATCTACTGGACTCTATACTCAGTCACTAAGAAGTGCTTATGGAGAACCTTTTCCGCAAAAGTCAGGGTTGGGCAGGTGCAGTGGCTGCAGTACTACAGAAATTTAGGAATTTAGTTGCAGAAATAAAACCCACCTAATATAGAAGAAACAATGTAAAAGACAAGTCAGTACAAGCTCTAATTAAGTGTATTGAAAACAATTCTGAAAAACTGGGGCTCTTTTTAGGTTAAAGTGGCCAATGAGGTTTTGTGGGAGGAATTGTGACTAGAACTGGGCCTTTGAAGGCTGCATAGGGTTCAGGCAGCTGGGAAGAGGAGGGGAATTTAGGCAGAGAATTGCCAGAGCAAAAGCAGGGAGGGAGCAACTGCGAACAGAGGAGTCTCATAGAAAAGCAATGAAAAAGGAGGTTGGAACCAGCTTTACAGGAAAACCTTGTCTTTGTCTATCAATTCAAGGACTTAGAATTTAAACCAGGAACTAACTGAAGATTTCTGAGCTGAAAAACAAAATGATCAAACTGAGGGTGCATAAGTAGGATCACATATCCTACTACTGTATCACTACACATCACTCTGTGAAGTCTCAATCCTTTTTCCTTTCACTGCATTCGTTTTACAAAAGATCCCACCCTCAGATCAATGCAGTCATCTGCTTTCTAGACTCTTGGATTCAAATCTAGACTCAGATTTGCTGGAGGAAACCAAACAACCCTGCATAATGATACACAACAAATGTACAGTCGCCATCCTGAGCAGGACCCTCAGCCTGGCCCAGTAAATCTCGAGTATTCCTGGTCCCCTCCCTCTTCTCCTTCCCAAGGAACAGCTGTTTCCTATGTTCACTGTTACCCTCAAACCTCTTTACTTCACTGCTTCCCACATCTCTCAGCTGATGTCTTTGGCCCCTTTCTCTCAGGAACAGCTGGGATCATGACATGAACTCTCTCAACTCTCTCCATTCAAGCCTAAAAACATACAGATTTCAAATGCCCACGGTGACCTTTTTGCTTCTAATCTAAGTCCTCCTATATGTGACTGATCAACCACTTCCCATTCCTCAGTCGGTTCTTCATTTCACGTTTGTTTCCAACTTCCTCTTTATACTGGCTTCATTCCCACATGTTCCATCTGAGGAGGTGGGAAAACCCAATATAAAACAAAACCTTTTCTAGACCCCATATTGGCTGCTCCTCCTCTCCTCCGTCAGTGATGATGCTCCTTAGGCTTGCATCTTTAGTCCTCTTCCTGTCTCACTCTACACAGCCTCCTTTGGCAAACTAATGCACTCCCATGTCTTGAACTACCATTTCTGAGCCATTAGCCAGCAAATCTGTATCTCTTGCCCCTTTGAACTCTCACGGCACCAATCCTACATGTTACACTAATGAAGAACATTCTCCATCTACATCTCTACATCTCAAAGATACGTCACACTCGACATGTCCAAAATGGCACATCTTTCCCCCAAGTTGTCTTGGCTTCTGCTGTGAACTTCTCAGGGACTGACACGATGTACTCAGTTATTCACATAAGAAACCTAGAAGTCATCCTAAATACCTTGAGTCATTAACTCAAGCTAATTCTATTTCCTTAAGCTCTTCTATCTGGCCCCTGTCCATCCGATTGCTACTGACTTACTTCAGGTCCTGACTATCTCGTGCTTAGTTTACTCTGCTGCTTCCTACCCTCCTTCCCTGTGTCCAGTCTTGTTCCCTTAGATCTACTCACAGTATGGTAACCAGATCTGGCCATTTAACCACACTGCTTAAAACCCTTCAATGGCTACATAAGAAACACAAAATAATTGTCTCTGGGGAGAACTGGGGGGCCTAGGTTAGGAGAAATGTTTATCTTTCTCTTCAGCGTTATTTGAATTGTTTACCATTAGCATGCACTACTATAGGAAACTGAAGTTTCAGTGGCCTCAGTGCCTACAATACAAAGTCCTTCATGATCTGCCTGCTGGTTACCTTCAAGACACTTCTTTGTCCGGAATGCCCTTCTCTCATCCATCTAGAGTCTAGCCACTCATCTTTTAAGGCTGCTCAAATGGCACTTCCTCCTGATTTCTCCACACAGAAGCTACCTCTCTCTCTTTCGTGTTACTCCGTGCTATAAACAGGCTTTCACATGGCATTTACAGCTCATGTTGTTCATAATACTTGAACAGGTGGTTTAAAATGTCTGTGTCCCTCCATTACCCTTAGATTCCCTGAAGGATCTGTTTCTTATTTACCTCTGAATTTTCAGAGTCTAGTGACTGAATCAGAATTTACAGGGAGTGGGGCTTGGACGAGTGTGCTTTGAAAACACTCCTTGGGTGATTCTAACTCAATCCCTGTTAACAAACGCACTAAAATATAAATTCCTTGAAGTCATGAATCCTGTGACCAGCACAATGTATGTGTTTAATTAATGCTTTCTAAACTGAAGTAGTTAAGTCTCCAAGTAAAGGGAGAGGAGGTTGGGGCTGGAGATTTGGAGGCAACCGGATGTAAGATGGTGTGTCAAGCTGTTAAAGTAGATAAACTTAAAAAGAGAGTTCCGAGTAAGAAGAGTAAGGAAGCCTGGGCAGACTTCTTTGCCACCTGTAACTGCAGAGGGCTCGTTTACATGTGTTCTTCCTTCCAGTTCCTTAAGGGTAGGAATTCTGTTCTCTTCATCTCTGCCCACCTGGTACCCAGCACAGTGCACAGCACATGTTAGGGGCTCAGTAACCTTTTACTCAGTTGTATAAGTGCCACTGACAATACATGGAATCATAATAATAGTAAAATACTCCAGGGACACAAAGGAAGAAGTGACTATTTTGGCCTAGGAGGGCTGTAAATAGAGGTTTTCAGAGGGACAGATGAGCTCGGTCCTGAAAGAGTTCATTTGGCAGAGAAGTGGCAAGAACTTCAAGGAGAGGGAACAGCAGGAGCATAGGTAGGGAAGCATGAAAGAGCACAATGCGGACACCCTCTTTTCATCAGGCTGAGAGTTAAGTGCGAAAGACAGAGAAAATTGTTAGGGTGGTTGAGAAAATGAGCTGACAGGGTCAGGGTCAGACTGCCAAAGCCCAGGGACACCCACCTAAGGATTCAAATCTGACCGTGGGCGGCCAAAATGCTCTTTTAAATTTAATCTGAAATGACTAGGTTGACTTTATAAAAGTAATTACATAAATGGCAGCACGAAGGGCCGAGTAAAGAATTGAGACTTAAGGGAAGGAGCTTAATTAACGACTGATGGTCCAGCTAACAAACCCAAGCAGAGGCTGTATCCTCCTTTAAGTTTTACACCCAAGGGAAAGGAGGGAAGGGAATGAGAAATCCACTTTATAAAAACCCAAGATTTAAGTCAAGCGACCAGTGAATGCCGGCTCCTGCTGACCACCAGGCACATCTGATTTTTTCGGGTCTGAACTGGATGGGGAGTTTCGAAGTGGAAATGCCCGGGAACCCTGTCTTACTTTAGGGGTTCCAAGCCCCTTTCTATCACGGCCCCACCTCCGCGCGAGGACGAGGGCGCGTCCCAGGCGAGACGGAAACGCGGCGGCACCCAGAGGACGCACGGTGGGGAGCCGCGCGTGCGCACCCAGAGCGCGCGCCCCGCCCCCTGCCTTTAAACCGGGCGGCGGGAAAGGGGATTCCGCGCCTCGCAAAAGTGCCCCCGCGGCTTCGAAGGGACCCTGTTCGCTTAAAGCCCTCTCGCCCACAGACTCACTCACTCGCTCCCCGCCGGGCTTCAGGATCCCCGCGGAGACAGCGGCTCCCAGGACCTGGACCGCTGCCTTTCCCGCCACCAGGCTGAGCGGGACCAGCCCCCGCCTGCGCGCGGGACGGGGCGGGGCGATCGGGCTGGTCCATGTGACCCCGAGCGTGGAGGGGTGTCGGTGAGGAAGTAAGGAAAAGGGAAGCGAGTACGGAAGTATTTGAGTCGAATCCCTTACATGAGCCAAAAATCACAGCGCTATGAATTTCGTGCTGACTTAAGATAATAGGGATCTAAGTCCGATTAGAGGTGAACTTACAGACACTCGTCCCCATCTCCTAAACAAGTGGATTATTCCAAAGTCTTACAAGGATAGTTAGAAAAGTTAGGCTTTATTTGTGAGGAAGTGGAGTTGAGCTACGCGGAGAAGTGGTCTTTTGCGGGGCTGGGGTGTCTTTCTTACTATAGGTATAGGTTTAAAGCTTGCGAAGTATGCAGAAGGCTCCTAAAACGAAGAGATCAACAGTAAGTATTCATTGGTCTGTTCAAGGTCTCCTCTGACCTCTGCTGAGATGAGTGTATTTTGCCAACAACAAAAGAAGATAGGGATCAAACGAATATCTCGAAAATTATTAGGCATTTGAATAGAAAGAATCAATTTCTGGGACAGGTGGAGAGTTAGAAGAGGTTTGCTAAAGTTGAAAAGACAGAGAAAAGTGAAAAGACAGACAACAAAAAGGAAAATAAAGAAGACCGAAGAAATAATGATAAAAGCAGAAAGAGGCCATTGGAAGAGTGTTTTGGTCTGATCTAAATTAAAACTCTGAGCCTCAAATCCTCTCCCTCCTGTGTCCCCATCGTCATTTCTGCATTTGCTCCAGGCATCAGATTTCCTGTTTTGGCCTTAGGGAGCTCTTCTGGGCTCAAGTACTGTCTGCCTAGAGGCTGCACTGGGTGGCTGTTGGGCAGAATAGTTAAGCTACTTAATTTTTGTAGATTCTAGGCTCACCCACCCTTTATTTAGGTTGGGAGCTAATGGCCCAGAGTCTCCAAAGAGATCCATCCTGCCAGAATGAACACAAAACCCAGCCAGTGAATGTAGACAGGTTGATGTGGATTTACAGAACAGTTCAAACTCCAGTGTTCATTTTTCTCAGAGCTACTTCCCCACCCAAGTCCCTGGGGCAAGCATCCCTGAGATAAGTAGGCTACACTCTCCTGTTAACTTCTCCAAAACTTTTTGGTACAATTGCATCCTGATCTGGGCTAATGCCTCCATTTCCTCCCTGACACCCAACTGCTTCTCCCAACCCTTGGAATGCCTTGCCTCCTCTGAGGAGTAACTACTGCTCCCCTGCCCTGTCTGAAACTCAGAGCCATACACCTGACTGGCAGCAGGGCAGAGGCCAGAAACAAGGTCTTGGTGCCCTGAACTTACCACACTGGGTTGGGAGGGGAAGGTATAGGGTAACGCCTCTTTTCACTTCCCTACCTCTCATGCCATGCCCCAAAACTCAGACACAGCCACATTCACACATTCATACGCACAATCACAATCTTCACACACATCAGCAAAGAAGGGTGGGAGGGGGAGGAAGGGAAGTTTGCACCAACCAGCTCATGAATGCAACTTGAAAGATTTCACACGGCAAAAGGCCAAAAAAAAAAAACAAAACGTAAATTTAAAAATAAAGAAGTACATGCCCCTCCCCACAGTCTCTTCATCCAGGGGCTGGCTCAGCCCCTCCATGTAAACCCAGAAGCTTCCTACTCCCTCTATCCCACTGGAGCTTTTACAGAGCTTGGGTCTTCAGTTCAACAGGTTCCGCTGTGGCCTCTGGTTGTCCATTGGATTCACTGGGCCTGGCACCCTTGAGAATAGACAGTCTCTCAGAAACGCTCTTGAGCCGGGGGAAGAGGAGAAAGTCATAAAGGAGACTGCCCAGGCCTCCTCCAATGATGGGGCCCACCCAGTACACCTGCAGGAAGAGGAAGGAATAATCAGGTTTGGGGAGGGGCTCAAGAGCAAGGCTGCTCTTTTTCCAACCCCACTGTTGAAAAACAGACATCCTGCGCTTGGCACATTTAAGCCAAAATCAGTGTTTGTTTGTTTTAAAACTCTAGACAGCTCCACTGCCTATACTTCAGAACTCACCATTTCTTTTGACTCATTAAATCATTCCTTTATCCCACACCTTCTTAGCACATGTATATTCTATTTATTGTTATTAGTTTGCACTAGTTTACACATTGCTTTGAAAATTTATTTCCCCTCCCCTTTTCATTAATGGGGTTACTGGGGATTGAACCCAGGACCTCATGCAAGCTAAGCATGCACTCTGCCACTGAGCTCTATCTCCCACCCCCCGAAAATTTATTTTTTTAAATTTAATTTTTTAAATTGAAATATAGTTGATTTACAGTGTTGTGTTAATTTCAAAAATTCTTTTAAATTGTGGTAAAATATACATAACATAAAATTTACCATCTTTACCATTTCTAAGTGTACACTGAGGAGTGTTAAGTCTATTTATGTTGTTGTGCAGCCCATCTCTAGAACTTTTCATCTTGCAAAACTGAAACTCTATAGCCATTAAATAACAACTGCCTGTTTCCCCCTCTCCCCACCATTTGTGCTCATACACACTCTGATGCCTGAGAGTAGAAGTTTTTGTCTTCCTGTTCAGTAGTCTTTCCTCATACCTCCTAGTTTTGGAAGCCAGTGGATACTTAGTAAAAATCTCTGACTAACCAGTGAAGGAACCTTATGAGCAAGAGCCCATCTTTCTAGAAAAATGATGAATCCTGCTCACACAGGCGTGCAAACTCTGACAGCCCCCTTAGCTGAGTGCTGGCCAAGCAGTCAACACATCCAGATGGAGAGCAGGAACCAGACTTGGAACCTGCAGTCCACACCCCTCCAGAAGGGCTTCAGGATCTTGCCCTTCTCCTCTCACTCACCCAGTGGTTGGTGAAGTTCCTGGTGAGAATGGCAGGAGCAAAGGAACGGGCAGGGTTCATGCCTGCACCAGTGTAATACATCTGCAAAAGACACAGTTGTAGCTGAGACACTTCCCCTCCACTCCTCCCCAGCTTCTCTCCCACAACCCACGTGCCCCTGAGAGTTGGTACCTTGCCTCCAGCCAGCAGCAAGTAGGGAAGGACAACCCATATGGAAGTCCCATGATGGAGGGAAGTCACTGATGCTCCCTAGGCACTGATGTGAATCCCTAGGCAAAGCCCGCATCTACCCATGTTACATGCCTTTCCACCTTGGGATCAGGAAGAACTAGATATAGCCATCACAAGAGAGGAAAAGAGAGCAGGGTTGATTCCTCTGTGCTGACTGATACCAAGGGAGGTGGATAATGTTCATGTTTGACAGTGACGTGGGCAGGAAGAATGCTTAGAAGTCAGCAAATGTTTGGAGGCCCTGGAGAAGTTGCTCCCCTCTCCTGCTTACCCCAAAGAGGTGCCCCAGGGTGAGGGAGAAGCCGACGGCCAAGGCCACAGAGCCCAGGCGGCCATTCCGCCTCTCGTCGTATGTGGCAAAGATGCAGAGCACGAACTGGAGCGTCAGGAAGATCTCCACTATGGTGGCCTGGCCCACACTCACCCCAGGGTGCAACTGGGCAAAGGAAGAAGAAGGGAGGCAGCTCATGAGGGCTGCCACAGCCTTACCTCCTCAGTGCATCCCAGGCAGGAACCCCCTTATGGCATCAGCTCCCTGGAGACGAAGGACAACACAACCTCCTTCACAGTAACTGTATTTGTTCCTTAGTTTCTCCTAATGATACTTCACAGTAGAAATAATTGCACCCACTTACGTGGATAAAGAAACTGAGGTCCCATAAGATAAAATAAATTTCCTCAAGAACCAGCAAGGAGTTGAAAGAAAAGCTGGAGCCCGAACCCAGGTTTCTAGATTTTTAGTCCAAAGCTCTATGCCTGCCTTACCCCTCCAAGCCACCTGTTGATCCTCCCCACCCTGAAACACACATACGCACACACACACAAAATGTCCCAGACCCCTGGGGAACTGATCCACCTGCACCGGCAGGAAGTCAGGGCACCAGGTTCCCCCAGCCCCACTCTGCCAACCATTACCGTGTTAAGTGCTAGGTTTCCTCGGACGGCAGGTGGGGTGACACTGTACAGCACGGCGGCCCCAGCCACGGCTCCCAGGAGTTGGGCTACCATATAGCAGATGGCACGGAGCAGGGACATCTGAGAGCCCACAAGGAAGGCGAAAGTGACTGCAGGATTGACATGAGCTCCACTGATGTGGCCCACAGCTTGCACCAGCGTAGCCAGGGCCAGGCCGAAGGCCAGAGCCACCTGTAAGACATGCAGGGGTCCAGGGGTCCAACGCAGTGAGGCCCCCAGCCCGAAGAAGACATAGAAGAGGGTAGCAAAGAATTCAGCAAATATTGCCCTCCAGAAGGAGGCTGACCGCAGTTCCCACATGGCAGGGGGGATGGTACAATGCCTGGGTCCCTAATATCCCCCTGGCCTGGATGGACAGTCCCCTTTATAGAGGACTCTTAATCCCTGGGAGGGGCAGGCTGAGGTGGCTGGCCCAGCCTCTTAACCCCTTCACAGCTGCAGAGGGCTGGGCCCACCCTCATGCATCGGATAAAGCTGCTGCATTTTCCCCTCCCTCCTCCACTGGGAGATGAGCAGAGCCATGGGTGTGAGGGTGTGGGTAGGGTGAGGACTGGAAGGGACCAAGAAGAGGGGGACTGGAAGAGTCTGCCTTTCTTTTCATGTCAAATTTGGGGTTCCTCACCCTACTTGACATCTATATTAGAACATTCCTCAACTCTGCTTGGAAGGTCAGTCGAGCTGAGTTCACTTCATGGAGTATGAGACTGTGCTCAAGGGGGCCTCCAGGCTCCTCTGAATTGGCCAGGGGTAAGGGTGGGGGTAGGGGGTCAGGAGTGGGGTCCAGCAGGGAAGTTGGATAACTGAAGAGAATTCTTTAGTTCTCTGGGATTTAGAAGGCCTTCTCCCATTGGCTGGTTTGGGCTGGAATCTGTGGACCCTGCAGCTCTGGGACAGAATAGATCTGCTGCGTCTGGCTTTCTCTGAGCCTGGGTTCCCTACCCCCACCCCATGCCAGCACCTCCCTTTCCAAGCCCTCAGCCTGGCCTTTTAAACCACAAAGACAGAGCAGAAAAAAGTGTTTTCCATGGACAGCCTGGGAGTGGGGTCAGGGAGCTGGGCAGGGGAAGAGGGGTTAGTAGTTAAATCTCAGAATCTGCTTGTACTTCGTCTTTCCTAACTCACAAGGTGCTAGCAAAAATACTGAAAGGATGGAAACTGAGTCATGGCTATGAAGCAATGGGAGGGTCTGATGCCTCCTGATATGGCCATTATCAGGACACTGGAGTCCTAAACCTCTATCCCTAGGGAAAGGTCTGGAGGTGGGGGTGTCTGACCCAGGAATTTCACTTCTCACTTACATACATACCCAAGGGAAACTTTCTTATACTTACACCAGGAGACAGTTACAAGATTGTTTATAGCAGCATTGTTCACAATAGCAAAATCTTGAAGCAACCCAAATGCCCATCGACAGGAGAATGGATGAATAAACGATGGTATATTCACACAACAGAAAATTATTCAGCAGTCAAAACGAGGTACCACTACAGTGACACTCAATAGTAGGGATAAATTTTAGCAATAAAATGTCATTTAAAAAGCCCCAGAAGATTACACATAGCATGAAAATCTTTTCATAAAGTAAAAAAAAATACTAAAATAAAAATATGCTTTTCAAAACACATATATATGACATGCAACTACACAAAAAAGAAAACAAAGAATGATAAACACAGGATTCAGGATGGTGTTTACCTTAGGTTAGGGGAGACGAGGGGATGAAGTGGGATATTTACATACATAAGTACAGATTTCTGTAAGTGCTTCTCAAGGTTCTAGTTTTTCTGTTGGGTAGATGGTTAATAATGACGCTTAATTATTCAAAAAAAAATAAGTTGGAGCCATATATAGGCCAATGAGAGGGGGATGTCATGAACAAAGGAATATTCTCTGCACTTGAAATCCATAACGAACAGCAGCAACCCAGCCCTGGCTTTCCCATCTTCTAGGCGGGGACATTATCCCCACTAGATATAAACTCCAGGAGGGCAGGGATTTGTCGATTTGTCCACCACTGCAAACCCTGTGCTTGACACACAGTGGGCAGTAAATGAGTATTTGTTGAATAAATTAATGCAAGCTCTCTGAGCCTCAGTTTACTCTGGATCAAAGAAAAAGTAGGTACAGGGCTAGTATGGTGCCTGGCACAGAATAAAGCACTTAACAAATAGGAGCCATTTGATGAGGGCTGTGTCAGTCGGAAGGGATTGTCCCTAACCATAGACCCCATGGCCTCTTAGAATAAGGAGCAAAGAGCAGCTAATGTCGTGCCCGCGGAAACACCAAATGAACAGATTTCCTTATTTGAAGCTACCAACCTTTCCCCTTTACTCCTTATCAAATGTTGATAAGAACCTTACGGAGAACCGAACCCCAGCCCATTTTCTTTCACAGCAGCCTCCCAACTTAGGTAAACACCAAATTTCAAGTTAGAGGTGAGGTCTCAAAACCTGGTATTTTGCATATATTTACATATAATTAGCATACACAATATTTTCTGATAGACTAGACTCTTGAAAGGAAAAAAAAAAAGCTGTGTTTCCCCTTGAGGAGTGGAATCCAGCCTTCCCCAAGCCTGCTGCTTTGTATGGGTGCGTTCTTTCTTTCTTTTTTTTTTTTTTGCTTATTTTTTTCAACTCTTTCTTCTTTTTCAATTGAAGTATAATTGATTTAAAATGTTGTGTTAATGTCAGCTGTACAGCAAAATGATTCAGTTTTTTATATATATATATATATATATATATATATATATATATATATAAATTTATATATATATATATATATATATATATATATATATATATATAAATTTATTCTTTTTCAGATTCTTTTCCATTAGACGTATGACAAGATATTGAATATAGTTCCCTGTGCTGTACAGTAGGCCCTTGCTGGTTATCTGTTTAATATATGGTAGTTTGTATCTAATCCCAAACTCCAAATTTATCCCTCCCCTCCTTCACTTTTGGTAACCATGTTTGTTTTCTATGTCTGTTAGTCTCTTTCTGTTTTGTAAATAAGTTCATTTGTGTAATTTTTTTAGATTCCACATATGTGATATCATGTTATTTGTCTTTCTCTGTCTGACTTCCTTCACTTAATATGATAACCTCTAAGTCCATCCATGTTGCTGCAAATGGCATTATTTCATTCTTTTTTATGGTTGAGTAGTATTTCATTGTGTGTGTGTGTGTCTGTGTGTGTGTATCTCACATCTTCTTTATCCAGTCATCTGTCAATGAACATTTAGGTTGTTTCCATGTCTTGACTATTTTAAGTCATGCTTCTATGAACATTGGGGTGCACATATCTTTTTGAATTAGAGTCTCCTTCAGATCCATGCCCAGGAATGGGATTGCTGGATCATATGGTAAGTCTATTTTTAGTTTTTTAAGGAACCTCCATACTGTTCTCCATAATGACTGCAACAATTTACATTCCCACCAACAGTGTAAGAGGGTTCTGAGTGGGGTTCTTATTCATACCAGTGCTTCAGGTCACCGAGAAACCCACTGCCAGGCCACCTGGTCCACCTGCCAGCGAAGCCCAGCAAACATGGTGAGTACCAACTGGAAAGTGGAGAAAAACTCCATGCCCAGGCCCTGACCTACATAACTCTTCCTGCTCGCCTAGAAGGGACAAGTGATGCTAGGACAAGGGGTGAGAGAACACATGCATCCCTCCCATTGGCCCACAGACCCCATCATCTAGCTACCAAGGAAGATTTGAGCAAAGGATCTGCAATGAGTCACCCAAATTCCTGAGTTGCTGAGCCTAACTCATTGGCCTATTTCAATCATATTGAAAGTGGCATAACGACAGGATGCACAGAGCAGGGCTAGCCCCGCTTTTGTTCATTCCTTAATGCCCTATCAGTCATCCACCCTCATTACCTACGTAGTGTCACCCTACTCAGGGAGGGGGCCTTCTGCCTACCTGGGTGACCAGCTAGGCTGCAGCTGCCCAGAGCAGAGCCAGGTAGAAGAAGAGTGAGGCCAGGACATAGGCTACCCCTGGAGAGAGTCAAGCCAATGGGCAGAGAATAGTGCCACAGTCAGGGCCGGATTTGTCTGGGCCTCACTGACCTCATCAAAAACCAGTGCCAGGCTCTCCACCAGCAGCTCTCCAGGCTGGGGGTGAGGGACTGTGCCTGACACGGAGCTCCCACTGAGGCACGAGGCCCTAAGGACAAACCCCACAAAATTCAGGGTGTCCAGACCTTCAGCCAGCACCTGTCTCCAAAACCACTGGCTCCTCAAGTCCTGGGAGAGAGGGTGGGGAAGGGAAGGCAAGATCAGGCTGTCTCCTCTCCTCTGCTCTCCTACTCCCTCCTCCTCACCCTCTCTCTGTTCCCCTCCCCTTTAACAAACTCTCCCCACCAGGCCTCAGACTCTTCATTCTTTACCCGCTGACCCCTAAGCACCTGAAGTGAAAGGAAGGAAGAAGGACTGAGGGACAGAATAAGGGGGTGGTCAGAGAATAAGGCCTCACTTGGTTGGACTGGGATTCAACAGTGGAGAAGGGGAAAGGGCTTGGCTTCAGTGGGAGAAGGGTGGAGTCTATAGATAAAAGTCCCTCTCTGCAGGACTCTCATCTCCCAGATCAGGTCTAGGTGAGTGGGGTTGGGAGGTGAGGAGCAAGTGTTTCAGGCACCTACCCTAGAGAAAGAGGCAGCCAGAGATGAGAGCTACACTCTTGTGTCAGGGAACAACCCTCATCTCCTTCCTTCAGCCAATAGAGGAGCCTCATTCCTCAACCTGCCACCCCGTCCCCTAGGCAGTGCCCTCCTCAAGGGAGCCCTGGACATTTGTACTCACACATCCTCACACCTAGGTATCCACTCTCTCCAGCCGTGGCCCTTTTCTCTCTCTCTTTAGCCCTTTGGCCCCAGGCCTGCTGAATGAGGAGAAGGAGCTTATAACATCTTCTGTCAACCAGAGGTGCTCACAGTGAAGGGAGAGACTCATTCTTTCACTTCCTAATCATCTTTTATGAACCTGGGTTTCAGGAGCCAGAGAGGTAAAGAGGAAAGCCAAAGTGAGGCTCTATCTGGAAGACAATGAGAAGAATTCCAGGGAAGGCAAGGTAAGGTCATTCCCATCCCTCACCAGAAACTGAGTCAACCAGCGGGAAGGTACCAGTGCCGAATGGCATCTGGACCTCTGGAACTGGCAAAGGAAAGTGCCTTTGAGGAATTGCCTGGGAGCGCAGGGGATTCCTGAGGTCAGCACTCCTGGGATCACCCAGAACACACCCCATTTCATCTTTGTCTTTTCTGACTAGTTTGTTCACTTTTTTTTGCTATCACTTGACTCCATTCTTGTACTTGGGGTTCTTTTCAGAGGTTG